TCCAAACATTCTTACTTTTACAATTGATCCTAATAGTAGTATTCTGCAACAACAAGAACAACAAGGAGAAGAAGGAACTACCGCTACTGCCGATGTTGCAACTGCAATATAAACGACTTTCTACTACAGTGATGGCATTCACTAACAATAATAATATCTTGAGCGATTAATTAATTTCAGATAAAAAAAGAAAAAGATACTGTTGTTATTGTTGTCATCTAGAAGAAACGTTTTGAACGATGAACAAGATTTATATAATTGAAAAGGTTATTACCATCAACTTTTTTTTTCAAAAAATTAATTTTTGTATATATATATTGGAGGAAAAAGTTGATGATTATCTTTTCTAATTATTGTTATCAACAGCAAAGAGATTAGATTTTTTAATCTTGTATGTTTATAATTCATCTTTACATTATCACTTTATTATCATTATTATCATTGTTATTATTATTTTCATCATATCAATTTCATGGGGAAATAATTAGTAACTTGACAAGATGATCGATCGTTAATATATTTTTTTTGTATATTTTTTTTTTTTCCTCTTTTATAATGAATATGTTTTTTTCCAATTCACCTTTTTTTAAAAAAATTCCAAGTAACATCTTTTTTCGATATAGCTGTTTTCTTCTTATTATCCGGTTTATTATTTTATTATTTTTACTTTTATTATTATTTTATTATTTTTTATTGGTATTTACAAAATTAAATTTAGTCTTTTTTTTTAATTTCTATTCTTTTTTTCTTGGTTTTAATTTTAATTTTTAGCCTTTTCTTTCTGATATTTTTGGCATTTCGATTTTCGTTAATATGGGTTTTTCCTAATACAAAATAGTGGCAATTAAGGTTTTTTTTTTCGCATTATATATTATCAAGCCAAGTATTATTATACTGGCAAAAAACTTCAGGGTACAAATTTTGGTGATTATACAAAGCACCCAATAATTTTGACTAATATTCCGTTTTTTTAATTGGATTAGTGAGCTTGCCTTTAATGCAATGTTCCTTACACATAATTCTCTTTTAGATTTTTCAATCTTATAATTAATTAATTAGTCGTCCAATTGTTAGTAAACTTAACATTAATAAGCTAATTAATAAACCAACTATTTTCTTTTTTGTATATTACTCTTTTGATTTAATGATTTCAGAGAATATTTTGCTGAATTTACCTACTACCAATACTAATTGGTTATGCAAATTGACAATTTGCTCAATAGTAGATTCTTGAGTAGCCTTTTCTTTTGGAGCAGTGCAATAAAATATTCACTTATTGAGGATTTTCTGCCTGATTGCTTCCAACAAGTTTTTCTTTTAGTGAATTATTTTTTGAATTTTGGGCAAATCAGGCCCTTTTAAAAATTTTTTAGATCTTATTATAAATATTATTACCATTGTTGTTATTATTGTCTAATGACATTTAGACAAGCTCTTGGATGTTAAATAATGATGACTATTAATATTAGTCAACAACCCAAAATATATAATAAATTATTTACTATTTTTACCTTTTGTTTTTTGATAATTTTACATGGACCGGACACTTTACCCACTTTACCAACAAGACACTTTACCGACAACACGCAACATGATATTTTAGCATTTTGTTAGTTTGTTTGATTGTGCAGAGATTAAATGTAACCCCGTGTGTTGTCAGTAAAGTGTCTTGTCGGTAAAGTGGGTGTCAGTAAAGTGTCCCAGACCAATTTTACATCTCTATTATTCCTTTTTCCTCCTTGTCTAAATAATGATATAACGAATTGTTGTATTTTAATAATGATTACTATTAATTACTATTACGATTGTTATTATTTTCCTCTTTTCTTTTTCTTTTTTCATTATTATCATTATCTTCTGCAGAACTACATCTCTAAAATAATTGAAATGAAAATAACACCACATATTTACACAACAAATTAAAGGATTGTCAATGTCATGTTGATTCACTTCATTAAATACCACTGAAATAAAAACATGCGCTGAATTTTTGTTGAAAGATTTGGAAATGTGATCATATTTCCAAAAATGTTTTTAGGAAATCATGTTACTTTGACAGATTCGCATAAAAAAAACAAGTTTATAAGCTATATAGAGCTTGAAACGTATTCTCATTCCTTCTCTACCTGATCTTGTTTTTCTATTTTTGGAAAAATTAATATTAAAGGAGTGCAGTGCGCAATTTTTTTGGAACACATTCATAAAAGTATTACCGTAAAGTCTGGAAAGATAGCACCCTCTTTTTACAGTTGTTTCAAATGATTTTCAATTAGTTTTAAAGTAGTATTGGGGGTGCTCTCTTTCCAAACTTTATGGTATTTGGTATGGGTTTTGTTAATGGCCATATTTTTTTTTTTTGTTAAATTTTTTTTATATGATTAAAGATGTTATACATATTATGAATAATTTAATATTTATTATTTATTATAATATGTAAAATAACTTCATAACTGATTCTAATGGTTTGTTAATTGTTATTTTTAATAATATATATATATATAAAGAAAAGAAAAGAAATATTTTCAATTGTTAATAAAAACAATTTTTGTTGGATGAGTTATATATAACGATGATAATGGTTTTTGTTTTTTTAATATTGATCTACTTCCATATCTCACTCCACCCACCACCACCACTGTAATAATTAGAGTAGCAAGGGTGACATTTTGTTATTGTTGCTTCTGCTAGGGAGCTTGCTGCTGTTGATGAGGAGGTGGTCATCTTTTTTATCATTATTATTATATTAGCTTGTTCTGATTTTGAATAATAATTAATAAAATGTTTTGATTCGCGTCAATCACATGACTTAATTATAAGATCGATCTACTTGTACATCCATTTTTCACTTGTAGATCTGCATATCACACGTGACAAAAATAGAGTTTGGCTATTTTTATTTTGTGTACTGAACAGGTCAAAGGTTAAGTAATGTCACACAACAATTTTATTAAAAATGTCACAATTAGTAAAGCAAATGTCACAATTAATGAAGCAAATGTTATAATTAATTGAAACACTGTCACAATTAATTGAAGAAAATGTTGCATATTTTTTTGATGTTCAATTTTCTTTTATTCATTTTTATATAAATAATGGGCTCTTGTCTAAATGAATTTTTAATTTTGTGTATACTACTATATTACAAAGTAAAAGATCAATTGAAGAATAACATGATTTGAAGAAAATAGAATCAATTTTTGTCAGTAATATCCATTAAATTCAATCATGTTTTTGACACATACATGACCTTGCATTATGTTTGTTGTACAAAAAGTTTTGAGAAAATGCACATAACTTTATAAATTTGAAGGCAATTGATTTGGAAATTTTTTTTAAATAAAAGAAAGAGTTCCCATATTTCAAATAAAAAAGACAAATATTTTTTTGGTTGTTAATTATTGAGATATTAAATTTTAAAGATTAACAACAAAAACAACTGGAAATTTTTGTCATAAGGTATATACTTGATGATTTTAAGTGTAATAAATTTGAAATTCTTTTTATAAAAGTAAATTTCTTCTCATCTTTCAAATAAAAAAAGGTTACTTTCTTTTACCAGTTAGTTATTGAGATATTGAATTTTAAAAATTATCAACAAAAACAAGCCTTATACATTGGCTATCTAAAAGATTGAGAAAGGCTGAAATAAATTAATGCATTGCTTCAAAATAGTTTCCATCACTATCTATGCATTTTTGTAGCCTATTTTTCCAATTTTCAAATAATTTCTGATAGTCCTCTTTTGTGATGCCATCTGTGATTGCCTGGATTGCACATGCAAGATTTTCAATATGATCAAAATACTATTTTTTAGCTCTTTTTTAATTCTAGGAAAGTCACAAGAAGCTAAATCTGGGCTATATGGAGGTGAGAAAGTGAAATAATTTTTTCCTCTTCTAAATACTTGTTACAATTTTTGATTTGTGTGGAGCAGCATTGTCATGATGCATCATCACATTTCTTACTGTTTTTCTATTTTTTA